ACAAATCATGCATCTCTTAATCATAGTACAATAACAAATCATGCATCTCTTAATCATAGTACAATGACAAATCATGCATCTCTTAATCATAGTACAATGACAAATCATTCATCTCTTAATCATAGTACAATGACAAATCATGCATCTCTTAATCATAGTACATGAAGTTTTGTTGCTGTTTATTTAACTTTTAATTTCTTTGTTTTCAGAAAAAAATGAGCAAACTGATTAATCTGCTTTCCTATTTGTACATAGGTATTATTTATTGCTACTGCCAACACAGTGTCTTCTATTCCACCTGCACTACTTGACAGGATGGAGGTGAGCTTCCATATTCCAACTGATTTTGGACCAGAGTCATGCGTATACCAATAGAGTTGCATCATATTCATTTTGTATAAAGCATGATTATTGTATCACTTAAATTGCCTCTTGATAGTTATAGATGCTGCTTGTCCAACATCTTACTCATTAATCATAAATCGTAAACAAACCATTTCTCTAGTCGAGTGATATATTTTAGTATAAATGACACGTTTTTATAAACAATAATGAGAAAAAGAGCATGTTAATGAGAAGAACTGTCAAATGAAAATATACATACAGACTACATGTAAGTTAACAAGCCAACTTGAGTGATTTTATATTTACTCATAAGGACAAAAGGATTAAAATTTTGGTTCAATTCGTTTGAATTTTTAAAAGTAATATAATAATTGCTTTAGAAATAGAATAGAAGACTTGCATAACTCCATACATATTCTCTCACAATTCTCATGTTATTATGTTCATTATTAACTAAAAAATACATTATGCAAAATTGGTCTGACTATTGAATAATGTTGTTTTAGCTTATTCAAGTCCCAGGTTATACGCATGAAGAAAAGCTTGTCATTGCAACTGGGCATTTGATCCCAAAACAACTCACGGTAAGCTAACCTGACTGAAGTTTTTACAGTAAGCTTGGTGGCATAATTATTAGTTATTGAATAAATTCCAATTTCTTTCAGTCTCACGGTTTAGAGGGCAAAGATGTAGCGTTCTCACAAGATGCCATCAAGACTATTAGTAAGTCTGAACTATGTGACGATGAAAACAACAATCACATTCATTTCTTGTCTTCTCAGTTTCCAGTTATACACGAGAGGCTGGAGTTCGATCTCTTGAGAGGAATCTAGGGGCACTCTGTCGGTCTGTTGCTGTTCAGGTAAAACTATATTTATTAGTGGCTTGTCTTGATTTGTACCATGTCTTGGTAGAATGAAATAAATGTAATCACCTATAAATGCCTAAATTTCTAATATTGGTTACCTAGTTTGCAGAAAAATCTCCTCTTAAAACAGAAGGAATAAAGCTAAAGCAAGCCGACAAGCAGGAAGACAATGGTAAACCAACAAGCAAAACTCAAAAACCATTTGTGATTACTAAAGAATTTGTTGTGGATGTTTTAGGAGTAAGTTTTACTTAATATTTTTATGATTGTGATAAGACAAGATTGTGACAGCTAAATAATGTCATGTATGTGGATGTGATGACTGATGTTAAAATAATGCAATGGAAGCCATTAATTTTAAATGAATAATGAAAAATTTGGATTTTCCATTGGACTGAAAGTTTTAATATTTCTTGCAATATTTTCATTTGCAATGGTTTTGGATTTGGAGTTACAATGCAAGGTGTTGCTCCACTTGATGATGTGCCATTATTGATATATTATATCCAACTGCAAATTAATTAGCCAGTGTACATCCGTTTTTCTCCTCTCACAAAAAAAGAACGTTGTTTTCTCCCCAGTTTTCCCTGCAGACAGGGGAATATTGCAGTTACGATTCAAGATTTATTTTTCTTACTGGTTTTGATAATTATATTATTTTTTACTCTCTTTTAATCACTGCTAACGATTGCCGATTATCTTTCCATATGCATCTATTACAGGATGTTGCTGTCAGGAAATATTTGTTTATGATTTCTGGTAAATCTCTTATTTTCAGCCTCCAGTCTTCCAGTCTGAAGTAGCACAACGACTAGCTGTTCCTGGGGTTGCAACAGGTACATGCCATCAAACCTCTTGTTTACCCTTCAAGCTCTACTTATTAGACATTGCCCAGACTGTTCAACAATTATTAGACCTCTGATTGCTTTACTTGTAGGATTGGCATGGACAGCAATGGGTGGAGAGATCATGTTTGTGGAGGCAACGCGTATGGGAGGGGAAGGACAGCTGACACTAACAGGACAACTTGGTGACGTCATGAAGGAGTCTGCTCAATTAGCACTTAGCTGGCTGAGAAGTCATGCTGTAGAAGTGAGTAATTATTAGTCTTATTGCCTGGCAAAAACCACCAGCAGTTAATGTGATTATTTCAATGTTTTAGTATAACTTGGCAAGGGATCATGAAGTTGATCTTGTTGGACAGACAGACATTCATGTTCACTTTCCTGCTGGTGCTGTTGGTAAAGATGGTCCATCAGCAGGACTTGCTATTGTCCTTGCTCTTGTCTCGCTCTTCAGGTAAACTGACTTGCTATTGTCCTTGCTCTTGTCTCACTCTTCAGGTAAACTAAAATGATTGTCATTGTAACATTGTAGTGACCGTATTCAGCTTTGAATGAATACCAACAAGATTCGAGACCAACAAAATTAACTTGAAATGAATTTGATATCTGATCTTATAGAGCTTAGGAAGACTGTGGTGTTGTGGTGTGACACAACACCACGGTACTTCAGCCTGTAAAACAGTCGACTAGTCTTGAATTTTTTTGCATATTTAAAACTAATCCTTAAGTTTTCTATTCTATTTGTATCCAATTCAATCCATGTTATACTAAATTCAATGTGGTATGCCAGCAACTAGCCACATCTAATGAAAACATTCATCCATTAATAGCCTTATTTTTTTCTTCAGTGGTCGATGTATGAGATCAGACACAGCCATGACAGGAGAAATCACTCTTAGAGGACTTGTTTTACCGGTATTGTTGTCTTTTGATTTCAGTTCTCGTACCACACCCTCTATAGTGTGTTGTTTTAATAGGTTGGAGGAATAAAAGAGAAGATCTTATCTGCTCACCGTGCAGGAATCACTCGTGTTATTCTACCCAAGAGAAACGAAAAGGTACAGCTTTCTCTCATCATACATTATCACATACAGCCTCTTTTCATGTAGCTGCCTCGTGTCCACCATACCCCTGCCATGCCCTGTCCACCATACCCCTGACATGCCCTGTCCACCATACCCCTGACATGCC